AGGGAGTTACACACACACACACACACACACACACACACACACACGTAACAAACACCAAACGCGGCTGCTCTTGTTGCCGCCACTTCCTTGGCTAATATGGCGACAAGACTCTCAGCCTTCCTCAAGGATGCCTGGGTGAAAGGAGCTGGTGCGGGTCATCGTGTCCTTCAGCATCGGGGAACTCGCTTTAATTCTGCCCCTGTTAAACCCCTACACCAAGGATGCCATCATGATCAACAAGGCCACCCCCTATAGCTAGCTAGCCAGTGTCCGAGATGACAGGAACAAGCCTGACGTATCCAGCCACCCCCCAGGGCCCCAGCCTGGAGTGGTTGAACAAACTGCGAACACCTCCGAAGATAAGGCTCCCCCACCCTGTGGCCTCCAATAAAAGCCTGAAAACAACAAAAAAAAACTATGATCAAAACCCACAGGCATCTTGTTCATTTTGACTCATAGCGACCCTATAATAGGACAGAGAAGAACTGTCCAGTAGAGTTTTAAAGGCTGTAATCTTTATGGAAGAAGACTCCTATATCTTCCTCTTTACAGAGCCAAGAACTAGCACTTAACCACTGTGCTATCTGGGTTGCTTACATTAGTCATTGTTTCTGTGTGCAGTCAAGTAGGAATCGACTCTGCTGACCGTCTAGCAGGTTTTCAAAGGCTTTAAATCTCATGGATGGAGAGTGCTCTACTTTTTCTCCCGTGGTGCAGCTGGTGGATTCCTGCGGTGAGTACCCTAGCTTTGGCTTCCCTTACCCAGACAATGAATTGAGCTGAGTGGGAGGCAACAGGAAGGTTGGCGCTGCCACGGAAGCACCAGGGGACAGACAGCAATTTCAGTGGCTCTTAAGAGAGCTATTTGCTGTTAAGCTAAGGGATGTCCCACTTGCAAAGAAAGGAGTCAAGGAGGCCAGAATGGAAGTAAAAGAGGTAATTTATTAGAGAAAGGAACAGGTCCCACTCTGAAAGGAGACGGGAGGATGTTGGGTTACTTGGGTCATGGACTTCCATAGCCAGTCTTCCTTCTCCCGAGGCATGCTTCACACAAAGCAGGTGAGTGGTGTTTAGACCAATGGAATTATGTTGCTAGAGCTCCCACTCTAAATCAGCTGTTCACGATGTCACAGACTCCCACATTTCTAAAATACTAATTAGGTTGGCTAGTTTCACTCGTTTTTTTGTGGGTTTTTTAAAAAATTTTTATTTTATTTTATACGGGCTCAGCTTGTGCTCTAATAGTTTGACAAGGCCCAGCTGAAACTGGAAGGCGCTTTATAATTTTAACTTTACTTTTAACTCTCCTGTGGTTTTGCTCCCAAATTATTTAGCTATTTGCTCAATTCCTAACACTTGCCTTTGGGATGGCACAGCAACTCCATAGGCACTAGGCCACCAGAGCGCTCTACATTAGTTATTGTGTACTGTCGGAACCAACTCATAACTGACTCTCCAGTGGATTTTCAGATGCAGTAAATCACACAGGAGGAGACTGCCCACCCTTCTTCCAGGGAATGCAAGTCCAAACCATAAGATACCATTCGTCACTCAATGTAAGAGCTATTTTATAAGAAAACAAAACCAAACCCCAGAAAATAAGTAGACCAGGATGTGGAGAAATTGAAACTCTCATTCAGTCAATAACCTCACTATAACATCAAACAGCTAACAAAGATGGGACTTGAATTATGTTGTGATTCATAAGACCAGGATTAGCTTTCAGAAATCTCAGCTTTCTTACTACAGAAGTTAAGATTTTATTTCAGTGCTTTGAGCTAGGAATATTTTGCTCATCTTTTACTTTTTCTACTTCTTTAAAAAGATTAGGAACATCCAGCTAGTGTCATTATACTCCTCGATTTGACAAAAATGTTCTGAAGATTCAAATGTGCCTTTGTCTCTGAAGTATTTGATACAGAGTGTGCAATAGTGGTATTTTGCAGAGGTCAGTTGTGGTTACAACTTTATAGCATGAACCATCAGTGTCTTCTCTACTAATACAGATAGTTATCGTTACTTTAACCAGATCTGAGAACCAATTCCATAAATCCTAAAAAACAGCGAAGAAAGCCTTTCCTTATAACTTTATTCCTCTATTAACCACTCCCAAAGTGTCTTAGAGTTGTCCAGAGATACAGAATCAGTACGATAACAGATGGTCAAAATGGGAAGAGATTCCTGCAGTTTTGTTTCCCATAATCGTAGGAGAGGATAAGATGAAGGATTTTGGCAAGATATCTATTTATAGTCTGGAGGCATAATACTCCCCTAGGTAAAGCCCTCATTTTTCTTTTAAGGGCTTCAGCTGATTGGAAGAGGTCCACCCACATAATAGAGGTTCATAGTCTGTACTTAAAGACATCTGATTTAATCTAGACTGATGTGTGACTAAACATCTGGGCACCTTAGCTTACTTAAGCGTACATAAAATTTAGAAATTTTATCATCCACCAGATGATAAATTAACAAGTAAAATGGAAATATCTAAAATTCCTTACTATTAGACTACTAGACTATTACTTGGTCATAAAAAGTAATGAAATAGTGATACATGCTGAACCATGGATGAACTTGGAAATGATGTTACGTGGAAGAAGCCAGTCTCAAAAGAGCACATATAATTCATTTTATATGAAATAGCCAGATGGAAAATTAATTAATGACTACCAAAATCTGGAGAAATGGAAACTTGCAGGGTCACACCTCACATCTATGGGAATTTTTCTTGGGGCAAAGAAAATGTTATAAAATAGGGAGAAGTTGAGTATGATTTCATAACGACTGTGTGAAAAACTGATCTGAATCCTATCCTATCTTGTGCTATCCTCTTCATCTCTGATGCACTTGAGCCCATAGCTGCAGTCACTTTGTGAATCCATCTCATTGCGGGTATTTCTCTCTTATGCTGACCCTTCACTTTTTCCAAGCATGGTGTCCCTCTACAAGGAAGAGCTTCTCCTAGTAACATGCCCAGTGTACATGAGACATAGCTTCTCCATTATTTCCTCTATGGAGCACTCTGGTTGCAGTTTTTTCAAGACATATCTGTTTGTTCTTTGTCCATGGGATACACAACGTGTGAATGTATTAAAACCCGTCAAAATGCACTCTCAATGTGTAAATTGTACAGTCTGTGAAATAACATTAGTTATTATCTGACATGTCATTACCAAATACTTTTTCCCAGTCTGTGGCTTCCCTTTTTACCATGTTGGAGTAGTTTTTGGATGTGCAAACGAATGGATAGAGAAGCTGTGGTATATCACACGATGGAATACTATGTTGCATTGAAAAACAAGGAACTCATGAAATATTATTCAAAATGGATGACCCTGGAGGACATTATGGTGAGTGAAATATCTCAGTCACAAAAGGACAAGTACTGCATAGTGCCACTGTTGTAAAATGAGACTGACATCGGGGTTGGGGAGAGACTGAGAAAGATGGGATAAATTACGTATACTGCATTGAAACAGATGAGGAAGAGAATTGTTTAAAAGGGATATATCATTAGGTATTATTGTCATGACAGGAGTCCAGAACAAAGGCTGCATACTTGCGTGAACTTGGGGGAAGGGATTGTATAACAATGAAAAAATTTTTCTTTTCAAAGAGAAGAGTGAACTGCAGGGGAGGTTGGGCAGGGAGAAAAATGCAACAATGAATGGATGGAAATCCAAAGTTTCTATAAACATTCATTAAAATTAATTTAAAAAAGGATAAGTATTAAAAAACCCAAAACCAAACCCCATTATGGAGAAAGTAATTTTTTATTGTCTTTGTGTATAAGAGCATAATTATGCTTTTATACATCATGAAGAGCATAGTAAATGAAACAATCTGTCTCTCTCACTGCTCTTGAGTGACTCATAACTGACACTCCAGTGGATTTTCAAGGCTGCTAGTGGATTTAACCTTTGGGGAGGCCTTTGAGTTAACACTGCAACTCCTTATGGATTCCACCATCAGAACTCCCTTAGCTGAGACATCACTATTTTCATATTTGAATTAATATTTCATCTTATCTATTAAAATTTGGCTTAATTATGCTCATATGAAACCTCTACCTAGACCAAGAAACTGTTGTCTGAACAGAGTAAGGGAACACTACCACGTGGTTTAAAATCAGGAAAGCTGTGCACCAAGGTTATATCCTCTCTCCATACCTATTTAATCCATATGATGTCATTAGAGAAGCTGTACTCTATGAAGAAGAAAAGTAGCATCAGGATAGGAGGAAGACTTATCAAAAACTTGCATTATGCAGATAACACAACATTGCTTGCTGAATGTGAGGAGAACTTGAAATCCTTGCAGCAGAAGATTAAAGACTTGCTGTTATATGCCGTCAAGTCTCCTGCTATTCATAATGACCTTATGAACAACAGCTCTGAACCCTGCCTTATCCTGAGCCAGTCTCACTGACTCCCACGTGCCTACCCTCAGTGTTCCAGTTACTCTATGAATCCATCTCCTCCAGGGTCTCCCTCTCCTGCGCTGTCAACCCTTCCAAGCATAATGTCCTTTTCCAAGGACCGATCTCTCCTGGTCAAGTGAGGCAGAGCTTCAAAATCCTATCCTCCAAGGAAAGACTTGGTTTCACCCTCTCCAAGACAGACCTATTTTTTTTTTTCGTGGCAGTCCATGGTATGTTCAAGACTCTTCTCCAGCATCACAACTAGAAGGCATCTGTTCTTCTATCATCCTTAGTCATTGTCCAACTCTCTGAAGCGTAACAAGTAATTGAGAAGACCATGGCTTGGGTTAGGCACATCTTTGTATCTAGACTGACATTGTTATTCTTCAGCACTGTGGAGAGCTCCATGACAGC